ATCTTCTGTTATGCAGGATCTCATCATTTTTCACTTTAGAAGCAAAGAACGGGATTAAGGGTAATATCACTGTTGTTGCTCGCATTGCGTTAAAACGGAAATGTAGGCTTAACGGTTGGGATAAATCAAATAGTCACTATATTCGCCATCACTGTATGGCCAGTCACTGTAATTGTTATGACACCGAGCACCGCCTTCTAGGTTGCATGTGAGTACCTACGGTTTAATTCCATAGAACACGCTGATGTTGATGGCATTAGTAACACTTCGGCTACGCGCCGTTTCTTATAGCTGTAGTAAATCAAATATGGGCGAAACGGAAAAGCGCTTCAGTAAACAGTTTAGACCTTCGGTCGGAAGTCGAAAGATGGACAGAAAGAGTCGAAAAATGAAACATTCAAATTCTTGAGAGAAAGGAATTGACAGAAGTAAGCATAAACGTGGCATTAGGCATCCTATAACGAAGTACTTTCAACAGAAATGAAGGATGTAAATTTGGATTGAATCAGACGACCTCGCCACAAGACGTAACATTGCGAACAAACTTCCTGAAAGAAGTCTTCGACAAAGGCCAGGCAAATATCGTTATCCAGCTGTGTTCTGATAATCACTTATTTAAACGTTTAAACGTCCAGCCCTTTAAACAGGGATGGATAAACGATCTCCTTATATAAATTTTTCTTCTTGCAGTTTAATTTAGCTGATATTTCGCTAACAAATATTGATGAGCTTCTAGAAAAGGATGGCAAAGCGAAATTTAGTGATGTTTAATTTTCTGTTAACTACATTAGAAAGTTCTATTCGGGTTTTGCTTGAGTTAGTTAAAATTTATTCCCTCGAATTACTAAACGCCCGTCATCATGGTAGTGCCTAATATAAATCATTCAGGCGTTTTACTTCGGTTATAGCCGGTAATTTGCTATTTTCAGCAACTGTAATTCATTGCAACATATATGTCCATAAAGAGGATAAGGGCGTTTAGCAGCAAGTCCTGCTTTTGGTTTCATCTTAGATGAATATTTCACACAGTGCCATTATACGGGCTCTCTACAGGTTTCTCAGTCCTATTTCTTAGGGTTTTTACTTGATTGATCGATAACAACTTTAAAACATGCTTTTCAGCTACGTTGTTTATCACTGCTTAATCGGCGCGACCGTGTTTTCTTTCTGATTTAACCTGTCCTTGTTGAAATACTATTTGCCTAATTTTAGTTTTGGTACTTGAAGATAACGAAAATACGTTTTTACCGATTTCTGAACGGTTCTCTACATTACATGGCTTTCAGGTAACGGGTTTAATTTGTTTTTTGTTTGTTTTGGATCGATAACAAAACCGTGCTTGCGCGTCTTGAATTGCGGTGAGTAGCTGATGTTTGACCAGCTACATTGGATGTTTGCTGATCCATCTTAGGCATCTTTGGATATTTTGTATTACAGTGTAAATTCATGAGGGGCCGCGTAGAGGCCATTAGTGTCCAACACCAAACATCCTAAAGAAACCATGCAAATGGTGACGAAAGCGCAGAGAGATCACGACCCTTTGCGACATTCAGTAAGTCCGTTAGTCCGCCGTCAGTTAGGCAGACAGTCGGTCCGAAAGACAGTCATTCAGACAGAGAGTCAGTCAAACAGTCGATCAAACAGACAGTCTGTCAGACAGTCAATCAGTCAGACGGAGCGTCGGTCGGTCAAGTCAGTCAGACGGTCTGTTTGTCAAGTGATTTGAATGCAGTAAAACTTTATGAGTTGGAAGCTGCTTTGAAACTTGGCTATATTTTCATTCTTTGTTAAATTTAATATCGAACGGACATATTTATTGGAAAATATTTGAATATTTCAGAGAGAAGTATAGGGCATATTTTGAAAAAAAGTTGTCTCATCTTAGCCAGTGCTTTTTTCTAAATAATTCAAAATGAAATTTATGACGTGTTCCTCAATTAGTACGTTTCGGATGCTGCCTACTGCTGATTCCTGCAAAACCTCTAAACCACATGGACAGGTAAGTCTTCATGAGGCAGTTATCCAATGTGGCTGTTCTTTCCTGCGTGTGTGCCATTTCTGTCAGCAGCTGTTCAGTAGGTGAACATTGCCTGCAGTTACACTTTTCGGCAACAGTTGAATCAACTTCGTCAATAGCTGTCTTACATGATATATGTTGCGCGTTGACCTGGGTTTGTGCTGAATTGCAGTTTGGACACAAATCTTAGGAGGCGATGCGATAGTTTACAGTGCGGAATCAATAGAAATTAAAAATGAAATGATTAGTGACTATTCAAATGAGTCGTTTTTGACTCGTGGTAAGATCTGATGACCATTTTTCACAGTGCATTGAGAACAAGTAGTGTGCATGAGAAACCGCCACAAAAGAAGTGGCTGTGACCAAGCTCACCGAGAAATACTTTGAACATTCAAGCCTCCCAGATTCTTCTCCTCGAACTTCCTTATACTGTGGTTAAATTAAAACGATGTTCTGTCTAAGACGCGTCGCAGTCGTGTCGTGGACCATAGCCGAAGCCACTTGAGAGATTGAACGAAAAGGATAGCAGAAACAAAAATGGTCCAGTTCCTTGCGTGGAGCTCGTGTTGGACTACGTTGCTCGACTGATGGGTGACCGACGGACGTAAGAAATGGCAGATTAGTACGGAAGATGCTGGAAGTGTCCAGTTGTCGGATTACACAGACAGAAAGATGAGTTAAAAGAGAGATGTGGGAGTTCGTGGCAATAAATAGCGCGAGACAGACGCGAACGTGACCATCGCTGATTGACAGTGGTGATCACCGTTTATTACAGTTAATTGTTGATGTTGTTGTCAATTAATATATGGTATATAATTGACATTTCTGTTCTTTGTCACGTTAGAGAAATAGAAATATATTCTTCTCTGAGAGTAAATCGAGAGGAAATGGATTCATTATCGTTTTAAAGAAATTAATAATCTTTTTTGTATTTCGTCTTCGTGTTTTATTATTAATAGACTGCTCTCATTTTCTCATAAATTTTGAATTGACCTGGTTTTATTAAATCGAAATTTTATCCGTCTTTTGAATTTCGAAATAACCGTCTTCAATACGTATACTCGCCTGTTTTGATACTAGTTTAAATGAGTAAGCATAATATCTATTAGTGTAACTTTTAAAATTAAAATTTAAATATCCCATGCAGGGTTGCTATCTTCATTAACCTTTGTTCATGTTTTTATAACTTACTGTTTATGTTTTGAAATGATTGCAATGAATTGACATAAGTCGGTTTTCTGGCGGCGATGGCTACTTCTTCCTTCAGCACTGATTACGAATATTCCGCCCAGGAAACTTTCGAAAACGGCGAGCGTACGGACATGGTTCAAGTGCAACGGCGTTCGATGGAGTCACAAAAGGTGCTACTACAATCGGATGGTATCTAATTTTCGATTTTTATATATGCTACTCCAGGTGACCAAAACGACGAAGGTAGTGACTACCCGAACGCGGGAAGCGATCTCTCCTGGATCAGCCGGTCACATGTCTACTTCTTACGGTACTTTAAAATATAAATTCTGTGCCCTGAACAACCGATGAATCGATTCCAAACTTTCGTTTAGTCTTTTCCAGGGAGCCTGGCCAATATGGCGATATTTCTGATTACGGCGAGTATCTCTCAAACTACGGTAATTGTCAGGGTGTTTTTCTCTGATTATTTAGAGTATTTAATTTTTATTAGCATAAATCCGCCCTCCATCGTATACACTGCGTTATAACACCTGATTATTTGCATTCGTCATAGGTACCTAGAATCCATATTGGCTGATCAAAGCGCCACGACGTCTTTTACTCTGTACATCGCTTGGTTCACAATAATTTAGATTTGACTCTCTTATGTTGTAGCAACTTTAAGCTGAATGTCATATATTCACTTCTGATCTGCTTTCTTTCCAACTCTCGCCGACGAAAGTTCTCCTTTTTGTTAAAATCACTAGTTTCCAAGTGAATTTCTACCTACGTTTGGTATCTCTAAGAGTTAAATAAGTAGACTTTTTGCTACATTTTGTTCTGTTCGGTCGTGCGCACGTAGAGTCCTCAATAGTAAGATTCATCTCGAACAGTGGAACCAAATTATTTACTTTGCCGTTACAGATGTTAGATATTTGATCAAATTTATTCTGACAACAACTTGATCGAATATCAGTCGTCATCACATGCACATCCCTCACGGTAAGTCCAAAGTGCTTGAAAAATTATTCCTTGAACACGATTATTGACGGTGCCTGCTTTTATCTCAGGGTAAAAGAAACACTAAAACATAAATATAAATAATTGCAATGACTACAGTAAAATAAATTAGAGAAAAATGTTCTAGCCGTTAGTCGATAGATGCTTGTCTAAATGAACTTTATTTAAACTAACATGTTATCATAGTCTTGAATCTACAAAATAGCAATCAACAGTGGTGCTTAGTTAACAGCGGGATTCAAGTACTCAGGACATTGAGATTAGATTAAAGACTGAAAATGAAAGAACAGCGGGAGATCACGAAGAATTATTCAGCACCCTCATTTGCAGACTAACTTTTATCCAGCATTATACGTGATAACATCACGTATCGAGGTCAACCGTGGACACCTTATTAAGGAGTCAGACGGGTTACTCAGTCGATAGAGCGCCGAATTCAGAACACCCTAAGAAGCTCCGGGTAACAACCCCAGTACGGCCACTCACTTTTCTTCTTTTCAGGGTTTATAAATGCGTGTCATTCTGTGGGAAGGAAACAGTAGACTACACACTATAATTATCACAGCTACGTCGACGTTGTCTTTGAAATAAGGTACTAGTGGCTAATGGTACGGAAATGGCGGTCAACGTTCCATCACTAAAGAGTCTTTAATTTATTCCACGTTTGATAATTCCGTGTAAGCCACAGTTAACCAGTTATTTCCTTATTCGTATGGAAAGCAAAAATTAAAGGCCTCGTTGCTTGTTTTATTGAGCCGTTCAGACCTATCTTAAGGAGGGCCAACTTGAAACTGTATGTATGCTTTTTTTATCCATAATGTTTGTATATTAGCGCTTTCTCCTTTGCACACCTTTGAACGTTAGCAAGTATTCGTTTCTGTCAGTCCATTAACAATGGCTTCTGTGGCTGAGGCCGAATTATAAGGTCATTACTTAACATAAAACCATTGCTTTCCTTAAACTATCTGTGTATATTCATTTAGCGTGTAGTGAAAAGTGCCTCATTTATTTGTTTGTTCATTCGTTTGTCCGATTGTTCTTTGATCAATTCGTTCGTTTATTATTAATCAGGACATTATCAATAAGGGTTATCGAGAAATTCGAGAAATTAAGTTCTCAATTTCACTTTAAGCTCTGCCCAGTTCTCCAAGTGTTCCGCACGTAATCGATTTCGATTCATCATCAGTAATGCTGACGTGGCTTCCGCCGGATCGGGACGGTGACAGCGGCTGCTTGGAAGGTTATCTCGTCCAGTATCGTCTGGCAAACGAAAACGAATGGTTTTCGGCCAACGCCGAACTCATTCAGGATACTCAGTATACCGGTGCGTGCATATTTTTGGTTTTGGTGTGACTGTCCTATCCCATAAAAACGAAACTCTGATTTCTAGTTCGCAATTTACAGCCAAACGGGCAGTACGAATTCAGGATTGTGGCCAAGAACTCGGTCGGCTTCGGTGAACCGTCCAACGCCTCACAGTTGCTTCAGCTCAGGCCAAACGTTAATATACCGTACTTCTCGAAGCGGCTGAACAGAGAAACGAGTTACTCGACGAATCGCTATTTTTGGTGTTACTTTAGTCTTGCGTGTCTATATTTCAGACGTGCCTACGTCGCCTGGCAAACCTCGGGTGTTATCTTTCGGCGAATCAGTGGTGGAGTTAGTCTGGGAACCGCCGATATTCTGTGGAGCGGCTGGTCCGGTGCTTGGCTACGATATGCAGTACCGACCAAGCGGCAACGTCGAGTGGACAAACGCTAATGACTACCTCGTCCAAAACCTGTCCTATACTGGCAAGGCGACGATGCTGGTCTTCATACTGATGCATGATGTTTGACCTCTTTCTGTTTTAGTACAGGGCCTAAAGCCTGGCGGAAAATACGAATTTCGGGTCGTTGCCAAGAACGTAGACGGATATTCACCACCCAGTCAGGTGGTAGAGTTGCACCTGGTCCAAAAAGATGCGCGGGAACCGTCGATCGAGTCGAAATACGGTAAGCCGACCAGATGCCAACGCATCTTCATGATGTTCTGTATAAAGCTAACGGTCATCTATCCATTCTTATAGTGCTGTAGATGTCTCTAACAATATTACTCTTGGAAGCACTGTAATATGTTATCGCAGTCCCTTAGAGCAGTGCAAAGCTTTTCTCAACGGATACGGCTATACTAGAAACATTTTAATAATTGTATTCCGTTATATGCAAATTTTATATTGTTGTGCTATAAATTGTTACACTATACATTGGTAAACATATGGGCTAAACAGATAATGAATATTATATTGGATTTATTGTTTTAAACTTCTAATCAGTATCGTTTCTGAGTCGTGATCCAGTACGATCCAGAACGTCGAGCAACCGGGTGGGAAACATGACTCTGTTGGCTAAATCTTTTGAAGACAGACCACCATGATGAAGAACAGAACGCTATGTATTATCATCATAGATTTTTCTTGATTTGTTATTGGATGAAGGCCTCCAAGACTGCTGCAGGCTTTTGCTTTCTGCAGTTTTCTTCCATCTTGATCCAGAGTCTTTCAGCTCATCTTGCTATCGATCTATGATTTCCAGTGAGCCGTTTATTCTCTCATGGCACCCAGTCTGATGACATCGCAGATTCTTGTTTATGCTCTGAACCATTCGTGCTTACTATCTTTTGTTGTTGTTCCGAACATGCATGTTTCCATGTTGCGTATCTCTGCAGAAAGGCGATATAACTCTGCCAGAGCTCGAGGTCCTGTACCCACGGAAGAATTTTGGTGGAAATCTTGAAGTGCAAAGGTAAAACTTGTCCGATGGACTGGATTTGATTTATGACCGTATCAGACGAAAGTCGGTGATCCCTGAAGACTGGAAAAAAGGCGCGATAATTCTGATATTCAAGATTGAGAGTCGTCCCGACTCTACCAGCTACTGAGGAACCACTCTGTCTTTGCTGGAGAAAGACTTCGACGTGAATCATTCACGCAAGACTAAAGGAATGCATTGATTTTTTATTACGAACCAACTAAGCAGATTTCCAAAGCGCGCATTCAGGCACAGAGAACAGTTACACCTGAAGCAAATTATTCAGCTGTGCCTGAGTGTCCACCTTCCTGACACGGGACTTTCCTGAACTGTCGGACAGCCTTCGATTCAGTTCATCGCCAGACAATGTGGCACGTTATTCTTCACCGGTTCGACAAGCGGTAGTAATCCAAGTAAGAAAGGGACTAAATGCACTGTCTGAACTGAAGCATTTCTCTCAAACTGTTCAGCATTACAAGTGAAGTTAACCAAGCTGACGCACTGGCTCCTTTGCTATTCAATATAATGCAAAAGCGCGTCCTCCAAAGTTATAACGAGGGACTGTTAGCGACGAAGCTCAAGATACCTGACGGTATTCCTAACGGATCTTGAGCATACCGACAACGTTGTATTGCTGAACGGCTCCACAAATGGCCTTCTGGCATTCAAGGAAAGTATGTACTACATTGCTATAGGAGTGCTGCTACAAGTGAATGCCAAAAACACGAAGATTATTGGACGGCCCGCCGAGACTAGCATTCGAAGGATATCGTGAAATTGTATTATGATGGAAGTGGCAGAGTATTTTAAATGCATTGTACTTATGTTGGCCAACAATGGTGAAATTGACCCTGAACGAATCGGCGAATTAAACTGGTATCGGTGAATTTCTGTTGGCTGTTGGCGTGCAGAAAAATCGACCTATAAGAACAGGCCCCAAGATCACCATCTTCAAAGCAGCCATATTCGCGATGCTCATATGCAATCTCGAAACACATGTGGTTTTTAAACGTTATGCAACTCGTCTAGACAGCATCCAACAACGCTGTCAGCGAAATATCCTTCAAGTGCGATGGCGCCACTCGGTTAAGAACGAGAAGTTGCTGACCACCATTGGTCTGCGAAAGTCTCAAATGAAATCAGAGACCGGCGCCTGGCTTGGTTAGATAGAACGGCGCCAAAGGAAAATGAAGTTATTTTCAAGATTTTTTTTTTCGTGGTAATCAGTAAATTGCCGTAGACGGGAAATGAGCTGCTGGCCTCGATGAATATTATCTTTACCCCAGCAGTGA